ATATAATGGAGTTAGATGATCTTATTCTTATTGAAAGTAACAACGATGTTTGGAACATTGATTTACCGCCAATACATATTTCTACTACAAATAATGTTGAAGAAATTACAAGGTTTTTAAATAACATTTTAAAATCATTTGATAATGAAAATGAAAAACAATCATTTAAGTATTATAGTACAAATGAAGAAGAATTTATTGTTGAAGGAATTGAGCGAATAGAAAGAGAAGTTGATAAAGACACTATCAAATTATCAACATTTCCAGATGACAGATTATTTTTTAAGGATGAAACAAATGAATTCTTTGGAGGAGAGTCTGACCCACAAGAACCTGAAGGCACTCGGATAATGGGATTTGGCTCTGAAGACACAAACCCTTCAAAATCAAATAATTCTAAACATCAAATCAATGATGAAGATATTAAAATCCTATTAAATAATCAAGAAATAAAACAATGGGTAAGTGTTAATTTTAGTTCAATAGAAGTTAATTTAAACATTGAAGATAAAAGAATAAATCGTGAAAATGTCGAAACACAAGTGTTAATTAACGTTAATATTAAAAATGGAATTTATAAAGTTGATAAAAGAAAACAATCACAAGTATCATTTGAAATTAATACTTTTACTATTGAAATGATAAACACTCAACTGTTATCAAATAAAAAAGAAGAAGATACTATTCTTACATTGTCATCATCTAATTCAAGTGTATCAAATATTATTATCAAACAAAATAGATGGTATCCAAAATTTTCTATTTATCCTGTTAATGAAATTACAATATTTTTTAATTATGCACAAATTGATGTGAATTATTTAACAAGACATATGATGATATTAGATCGTTTGATTCATTTAATTAATATCGATGATAACATTTTATCATCTAATCATCTTTTTATTAGCAATTTCTCTATTAAAGGATTTGGCCAAATTATTGTTCATTCTTATATTGAGCAATTAGCTAAAATAAATGTTTGTAATGAATTATTTGAAGTACCTTCAATAGATAAGACGAATTTAAGTGGTAATTATGCTAGTGTTTTTGATTCTTTATTTAAGGAATTATATGAAAAGAAATCTTATATCAAATCATTATTATGTATCGTCCGCAGTTTGATCTCTTCTAATAGGTCAACCTTAATTTCTATTTCCGATGGTACTGCATCACTTCTTAATAAATTCACTCAACCCCAAAATTAATTTCAATTCCCGTTTTAATAAATTCTTTTTAAGTTCTTTAAACAAAACGTATCTGATAAATACCATATTTTAATCAAATTATTAATAATTCATAACTTTATCCAAATTGTTCTTTTTTTTTACTCTTTCTTAATTTAAAAACCAAATAAAAAGGATATAAATAAATTCCTCTACACAACAAAAAGGAATGTCTCAAATCAACGCAATAAAATGGAAACTTGATTTGAGTTAACACACTTTAGTTTAAACGATTTTCCTTGTAAATAGAGATTGACTCGAAAGAACAATAACCTATGACATCAACAAATAAAACAGTACAACTAAAAACAATAGTTATAACATACCCCCTTTGTAATCGATAAATTCAGTTCATAATATACACTCACTTAACTAGTTCAGTTAATGCATATTAGTATATCAATTTATTTTTTAGAGACAGTCGATTTACCTCATTTAGTACAAAGAAAATTTATTATAAAACACTTCATTGGCTGAAGATTAGTTATAACTCATACTATCTAAAATAATTAGAACAAATTGTTGTGATATAATTACGTTAAATCTCGTTTATATTCTATTTTTTTTTTTCCACTTTTAATAATTTTCATCATTAATAATTATATTCAAATCCTATCATAACTAGAATATAAAAGTAGTTTATGTGAACAATAAGAATTCTCAAACACAAAACAAAAAAAAGTTATGAGCATTATAAACACCTCCAAGCAAAAAAACACTTTTTAAGTATTATATAATACACTTGTATGGTAATAAACTGTTTTAGAACGTTATTAAGAAAATATTAAACAATAAAAATAACTAAAAAATTCTTTAATTTCATTAATAAAGAGTTCTTTTGGTTCAAAAACTTTTTGCTTCTTTTTATCGAATTGTTTATTGTTTATTTTTTTAAGTACATTCATACCCACACTTACAATCCTATCTTCCCCAATCAATCTGCCATTAAATAAAACTTCCATCTTTTCAATTTTGTATTGTTTTTCTTTAAAAAAGCAAATTAATCCATATCTGTAGAGAACACATCCTTCGATAATTGTCATTCTTATATACCTATTAAAGTCAGTGTGTCTGATATTCTTTAGATTAAACCCCTTTATTCTTGAAGGATTATCTTTTACCATAAGAGTCTTTTTATTCTTCTGATTTATTAGTTTTTTTTATACAATACCTTTATATTTTCTACAAACTTCTGCTATTGTTTCTAAATTGAGAATATCTTTATCTCCAAATTTTAACAAAGACACCCAAGGAAAACTTAATGTATATTTTGCTCTATCATTGTTTCCTTTTTTAATAGTGATCTGACAATAACTAGAAACAAAACCTAATAAAAATCCTAAAAGTAAAGTGACTTTGTCTTGCTGTAAATGAAATAACCATTTTCTATCCTTTTTAGGTCTAGATATACTCTTTTCTTTAACATTCATTATTTATTATATCTTTTTTCTAGTTCAACTTTCTTTTTTTAAGTTTTACATGGTTCTTTTCTTACAGTCAACTCTCATATAACTCCTTTTTCTTTTACCAATGATATATTTTATTTCCAATCAATATAATTACTCAGAAAGAACTCATAATTAATTTCCGATAAAAAGAAAAAAAAGAAATCTTTCATTCTAAAATATATATCTAAAAATTTAAATAAAATTACTATAAAAGTGTCAATTAAACAATAATAATTTTTTTTTATAAAAAATTACTTCATTCTTGTTCTTCATCATTAGCATGTTCTTTTTTTTGTTTTTTAATGAACTTATCTAACCAAGCAATAATTGTTTTTGCTTGTTTATCAAGGTCTTTATTTGATGGAAATTCTTTAGGTATTTTAATAACAATTTTATTGTCTCCAGGCTCATCACTTTCTTTTTCAAGTTTATCATCATCGTCATCATCTTTCATAAGTTCTACAAAACATAACTTTTGATCTTGTTGAAGATATTCAGACGAAGAAAATCCATATTTATATACTCCAATCACAAGATCTTTATTACACTCATCATTCCACCATTTCTTTAATTCAGGGAAATTACAATTTTGATTTGGAATATCAACAAGTGCCCCAATTACTGTGTCTGTATGAATAAACAATGAACATAATCGATTAATATATTTTAATTTAACTGCCCATGATTTGACATCATTTGTAATAAAAGAATATTCTGGTTCTAAAGTGTAATGATGTTCATCATTAATTTCTTCATCTTTTCCTCTTCTTTTCCTTTTCACATCATGGAATGAAAGAAGTAACTTAACAAAATATTTCTTTTCAATACCATTTATATCACAAACAGCAATACAGTTTTTTAAGAATCGTATAGTTAATATTCGTAATTCATCTTGTTGACAATCTTCACTAATTCTTGCTCTATCTCTTAAAATCATCCAATTAACTCTTCCATAATTAATAACAGAATTATACCAATTGATTTTTGTTTCAATGCTTAATTCTTCTTTTTTTACTTTCTTTTTCTTTGTAATATTTTCTTCATTTTCATCTTCATCCATTTCAATGTCTGTGCTGACCATTCTACTTAAAGTAGTTCTTCTATGTCGTGTTACTTTTAATTGTTCTAATTCTTCTTTTAATGTAGTAACTTCATCTTCTTCGAAATAACTTTTAACTGTAAGAATAGTTTCAATAAGTGACACAAGCCCATCTCTATCTGGACTTATTTTTCCTTTACTTTCATACTCTTCAATAATTTGTTTTGCAAAATCATTAACATCTTTTAAATATTGTTCTTTTTCATTTAATATCCAAGAGTTTCTTCGTGCTTGTGAAGTCCTTCCTGCCCTTCCTCCAAAAACATCATTAAATATCTTTGTTAGTTGAGATACATTTCTATCTTTTGGTAAGACTTTTTCCCAAAAATGTTCATCATTAACATCAATCGTTTCTCCTGTTTCTGATTGAAATGTTGCAGTAGAAAAAGAACCACTTAATGAATTTTCTCCACCTTTCCAAACCACTTTTGATGACCTTTTTTCAAGAATTTGTTCAATATCTTCTTCACAAAATTTAGATGATGATTCTTCATCATCTTTGAAAGCTCCATACGCACCATTTCTTAACAAACTTTCTATAAGTTCTTTTGATGGTTGTTGTTTGTCCTTAGGATCTGAAGAAGTAGTGATATTAGCTAAAACGGCTTGGTCTAATCCTAGTTTCATAGATGCTCTTTCAAACATATATCTTTCATATGTATTTTTACTAACCAAACGATAAACTTTAACCTCTTTTTTTTGACCAATTCTATGACATCTAGCTTGAGCTTGTAAATCATTTTGTGGATTCCAGTCTGAATCATAAATAATGACAGTATCTGCTTCACTTAAATTAATACCAAAACCACCTGCCCTAGTACATAATAAAAATATAAATCTATTCATTTCTGGATTCATAAATCTATCAATAGCATTTTGTCTGTCTTCTGATTTAATACTTCCATCTAACCGTTCATAAAAATATCCTTTATATTTTAAATACTTTTCAATAATATTTAATACTTTCTTTAACTGACTAAATATTAATACTTTATGATGATCTGCATATAATTTTGGTAATAATTTATCTAATAATACTAATTTTCCTGAAGACCTTATTAATTGATTAAAATAATCAGGACTTCCCTCTGGAAATTGTGCAGTATCTTTTTCTTCAACACCAGGAATAAGATAAGGGTGGTTGCACACTTTTCTTAATTGCATCATTAAATTTTGTAAATTAGGTACATTTGACCCAACACATCCTTTATTTAAAAATTCTCTATTTTTCTCATATAACGCACGATAATATTGTTTTTGGACCATTGTTAATTCAACTTCAATAATTGTTTCTTCTTTAGGAGGAATTGATTTCTCTACTTCATTTTTCATTCTCCTTAAGAAAAATGGTTTAATACTCTCTTGTAATTTATTTACTTGTTCGGCACTTTTATCAAGTGAATTAAATTCATGATCAAATTCTTCTAATGAAGAGAATGTCTTAGGTTCAATATAATTTAATAATGTCCATAACTCTCCAAGATTATTTTGAATTGGTGTTCCAGTAAGTAATACTTTATGGTTTGTTTGAATATTACATAAAGCTTTTAATAATTTTGAGTCTTTATTTTTTAAACGATGTGCTTCATCAACAACAGTTACTAACCATGATATTTTTGATAAATCTTCCCAATCACTGATAACTATTTCATAAGTAGTAAGTAGTACATGAAATTTAAGATGTCCAGGTATTAATTTTCCTTGAAAATCTTTATAGTACCATTCATAATGTTTAACTAATTGACGATTACCTTTTGAGCCATGATAAATAACCACATTCATATCAGTCCATTCTAATATTTCACGGTGCCAATGTTCAATCATAGATAATGGTACTACAATAAGAAATGGACCTTGTAATTTTTGGAATGAATATAAATGTTCTAAAAATGATACTACTTGAACTGTTTTACCTAACCCCATTTCATCTGCAAGAATACATCCTTTTCCTCTACACCAATTAAATACTAACCAATTATGACCTTCTAATTGATATGATCTTAATGTATTTCCATGTTTATAATTTGGTGATTCAACTTTTTTTTGCCAAACCCGTTTTGGTAATGGTGCAACAATTGAACATTTAGAACGTTTTTCAAATTCGTTGATTTTTTCTTTATCAGAAATATCATTAACATTTTCCCATGTACATTCTGTATACGGTAACTTTTGCCATTTAACTAAATATCGTGTTCGTTCTGTATTTGCAGAAATAATTCGTTCAATCTCTGTATTTTCTATTGGGAAAATATCTTTTTCTTCATCGTTATTTTTCTTTTGTAAAAATCGTTTTATTTTTTGTTTGTTTCCACTCACATTTCCTCCTCCTAATAATAAAAACTGTTCTTCTGATATCCATTCTATATGGAGATAACTCAACCCTTTCCATTTAACACAAATTAATTGTTTTCCATCTTCTTGTTTAATAGCTAAAATCTTTTCAAAGACTTTAGGAGCTAAAGGATTATCTATAATACCATTTTCAAATAAATTTTCTTTCTTTTTCTTTTTCTCAATTTCAAGGTCATAATCTGAATCTTCATCCTCTTCTATTGATAACGTCGGGATTTTTCTTTCACTTCTTGAACGTAAAACGTAATGTGACTCTGTAGGAACTTCTTCCTCTTCTGAAAAATTTGTTTTTTTCCTTCCTTTAGGTCTCTGAACAGGAATTGATGTATGACTTTGATTAAATAATGATGGTAATGCATGCTGTGTGTTTCCTCCTGGTGACGGCAAAATACCAGGTCTTATTTTATTTATTGAATTATCTAATAATGTAAGTTTTGGTAATTGTTGTGGTACTTGCTTAACTAATGGGTTAATTAATCCTGTACCACATAACTGTGTTGCACTATTAGTGAATGGTAACGAAGGTAAATTTGAGGCATCAAATGATTTTGCCATTTTTAAATAGCTATTTAAATTATCAATTCTCAGTTTTTTCAAATTTTTGCTTTTTTCTTTTTAATATTGCTTTTATCAATAAAAATTTTTAAAATTTCTAAAAAACCCTGCTGATGACGTAGCGTATAACAAAACAAAAAAACAAAAGGAAGAAACAAAAATATGAAAGATATTAATTTCTCTCATTGAAGAAAAAATTATTGAAGAGAACAGCCTTGTATATAATATGAAAGTGTGAAATAAAATTTTAAGATTAAGTTCTCTATATGAACTTAAAAAGATTATAAGTGTTTAAATGGAAGATTTATATCATATCATATTTATTGTGATAGCCTTTATTCTTAATGCAATTAATCTTGTGATTAACTATCACTTTGTAGTATCAGGAGAAGAGTTTAATTCACAATCTATTAGTCCAGTTGATTATTGTAATGAAATCAACCCATTTGTTCGTTTAGAAGTTATCATAAATGTGTTAAGTTTAATTTGTTATATTATTTCAGGTGATTATATAGAAGTTGGGTTATGTCTTTGTATTTTCTTATATTTTTATTATTTGTTTGTTATTTATTTCTTTATTACTAAATAAAATTTAATGTACTTAAAGTTATAAGATATCATAAAAAGTTTTTGTTTATAAAACCAATTAACGCACAAAATTATTTAGAAAGAAATGGGAGTGTTGGGTATCAGAAGATAGTTTATTATTTATTATTAATTTTGATATTACTAACAAGATTAATACTCATTTATCTTACTAATTTTGAAATTAATATTTTCTAAATTCCCTTGTGTTACTTTTTTGCTCTTCAAAGAAAGAAAACCACAAAATGAATGAAAAATATTACCACTTTGTCGGTTACATAAATTCATCTGAATATGGGAATGAAGACATTTTTGCAAGAGTTCTTTCTACATCTACAACAAGAGCCTCAGCTGACTTTGCGTCATTTCCTAAATCAAACTCCTCTTCTTCTTCTTCATATTCATTGTCATCCTCAATGTCATCTGATATGTCCATCAATTCAAATTCAATATCTTCAAAATCATCTAATTCATCATTTACTTGATAATCACTTTCATTTGCTATTGTTCCAATGAAGAATAATATAAAGAAAACTACAAAAAGCATGTTAACACTATAATTTTTAAGTTCTTTTTAAATTTTTTTATTTTTTATTTTTATTAATAACAAAAAAATTATCACAAAATTAAAATTTTCAAAAATAAGAAATAAAACCCTTTTTAGTTATTTTACTTCAATGGCAGTTGAATTAAAAGGTGCAAAAGCATTCCGTTATCGTATTGTTTTATCTACTTTGCTTGGTCAAACTATTAGGATTACGTCTATTCGTGAACAAGATAGTAATCCAGGAATAAGAGATTATGAAGTAGATTTTTTAAAATTAATATCTGAAGTTACTAGTGGAGCACAAATTGACATAAACAAAGACGGTACTTCTATTTTATATAAACCAGGGATTGTGAATGGTGGTAATTTTCAACATACATGTAATAATGGAAGGTCATTAGGTTATTATGTTGTCCCATTATTACTTATTCTTCCTTTTGGTAAAGGAAGTACAACAGTTACATTAAATGGAATTACAAATGGAAATGATGACCTTTCAATTGATCTTATTCGTTCAACAACAATTCCTTTAATACAAAAGTTTGGGATAGAAGAGGATATGCTTAACGTTAAAGTTATTAAACGAGGTGCTCCTCCAGTTGGAGATGGTGAAGTTCTTATTAATTCTTCAATTATTAAACAATTAAATCCAATTAATTTAACAGAACAAGGGTTAGTACGTTCTATTCGTGGTGTTGCATATTCAACAAAAACATCACCCCAGATGAGTAATCGTATGGGAGAAGCTTCAAAAGGTGTTTTAAGTCAATACCTTCAAGATGTATATATTACTACAGATCATTGGAAAGGTAAAGAAGCTGGTACTTCTCCTGGATATGGTGTTATATTAACTGCTAGTACAACAAATGGTAATATTATTTCAACTGAATTATTTGGTGAAGCTGGTAATGTTCCTGAAGATATTGGTCAGAAGGTAGCTTGTGGGTTATTAAGAGAGATTGAAACAGGAGGATGTATTG